GTTGGCCTCTTTGGTTATAGTTTTGTGAGCTTGAGCTTAGTCGAATAGACAAAGTTGCTGGTCAAGTGATCTGGCTAAATGAGGTCTCTAGATTTTGAAGATTAAATAAGTGTCCTGGAAGAAAACACTGACTAATGGAATGTTAGTGATCTCAGGTAGAAAGACTGTGCTCCCTGACAAAGAAGGGAGTAGGGAGTGAGAAGTGGGAGGGGAAAGGATGGAGCAACATTTTGTTCAGAGGAAGAGCCAGAGAATGATACCAGAAAGACTGAATTCTGCAGAGTTCCCAACATCCTGGTCAATGCATAAGTTAGTCAACTAATACTTGCTGAGAATTTATTTCAGGGTTTAATCTCAAAAGTTAGGAAATTCTGACAACCCAGGTCCAGTAAGTTCCCTCCTATAGGATGATCCTGGCTGTCTGTATAACAGAAACCACTGAGCAATAATTATTCTTACATAATAGTCTTGACACATGTTCAGACTAGAAGGAATAAAGTTATGCATATGCATTTCTCCTACTGCATTTATTTTCATTCAAAAACCATTTATGGAGCCCTGCTATGTGCCGATAAATTTGCATATTTATTTATTCAATTAAGCTTTCATCAAGTTTTCACTACATCCTAGGCTGAGGGAGGCCAAGGATATCAGCGTGAATAAGTCAAATCAACTACCATCCTCAAAGTATCTGTGAGCCATAAAGATAGAAGAATAAATAGATATGCAAATAGATAAATAAAGTGAAGTGTAGTCAGCACAAGGTTAGAGATCTTCACATCAGTAAAGGCAGGGCATTGAACCCAGCCACAAAGACATGATGACTGGGCCAAGCCATGAAAATAAATAGGAACCAGCCTGGTGGAAACAGGAGGAAAAACATTCCAGGCTGAGCAACAACTATATTCCAACAAGAGGCAGCTGACCACCTTACTGACTGCTTGTGGGCTGTAAGATTTATCCACTCAGTGAGCTTCAGTCTTGGATACCTGTGTGTCAAATAGGGCCAAGTTCAGCCTACCACCTGTTTTTGAAAATAACATTTTATTGGCACACAGTCATGCCCAATAGTTGCCTTGTCTGTGACTGCTTTCACACTATAAAGACAGAGCTGAGTGTTACAACAGAAACCGTATGGGCCACAAAGCTTAAAATATTCGCTATCACTTTACAGAAAAAAAAAAAATATATATATCTACCCTTAAACTAGAACATAGTGGCCATGATCTCAGCTATCACCACTCCTGGTCATTTGAATTCAGAAACGTGATTCTTTGAAGGAGACTTGAACCAACACAGGAAAAAATGAGTGGGGATAAGAGAGAGTGGGGACTGGAACTGGAAGGGAAAGACTGTGTAAGAAGGGCAGGCTGCGACGGATCTCCGGTGGAAGAAAGGCGCCTTCTGTACCAGAAGGGCTGGTACAGGAGGAAGTTACGAGGGTACCGCACTTGTCAAAAGATTGAGATTCTTTTTCACAGCAAGGTTGTTTCACTCTGCCTTTTGAAACACTGTGCAGACTTACATTTTGCCAAATTCAAGGGACTTTATGGAGAGTTCTTTTTATAAAGCATAATCATGCATGAGGAAGACAGCACCTTGGGTTTTTCAGCGGGGAGGCCACATAAAATTCAAATCAGAGCCAATGGCCCTCCGCGGGACTGGAACGACCGGAAGTGGAGAATGTAATCCACATCTCACACAGCCTCCGGACCCCTGTCTCCGGCAGCCTGATGATTAATGCGCAAACTAGAAAGATGTTTCATTGACCGCCTCCTAGTCCCATGAGCACAGTGCAGTCGATAAATATTTATTGAGTGTATTTTCCTTGGGCTTACAGCACTTGCTCCGTGATAACTTATAATCTAATAAGCAATAATTGTTCAGGGTGGTTACGAATATATATTAATGTACGTTAATGGAACCCAAGCCAGGAATAGGCAGTAGAAAAGAAAATATGCTTCCATCTGCAGATGAGGTATCCAAATGGTACTAGCTTTGGGGTAAATAAGAAAGAAGCACGTCGCACAAGCCCCAGAAGTAAGAATCGCAAGAGAGAGAAGAAGAAAGAAAAAAGAAAGGAAATTTATAAATGGCTGTATTTTGAACAAATAAAAATATATATACTTTTTAAAACTAATCTTTTTTACTCTCTCTGGCTTTATGTGGATAATACTTCCATCTGTCACTGAAATGGCTCCTACACTTGAATAACGGCAGAGAGTTAACTGAAATGGGCTCCCAAATTGCAGTTTTTTGCAGTAAAGATAAAATATGGCTTTCTGCCACCCATTTGGAGCTTCAGCACCAATATACTGTTGCAATCCCCCTTTAGCTCCAGTCGCATTAGATTCCAAATGGTGTATCACCAACTTGGGCACAGGGATGGGTATCAGGGTACGTTTATTTAAGATTGAGCACTTATCCTGAGTTAAAAGCAAATTAAAATATTGCATTTGAGATAATACTTAAAAGGGGCAATGTAATTACCACATCCTCCCCTGTGCATCCTCTTTAATTTCCCGAGAAGCCTGAGAATGCACAGCCGCAGTGAGAGCAGCAGCCCGGGTGGTGCTGAAGAGGAAAGGCATCTTCATGGCTGCGAGTCCAGCTGTGAAGAGTAAAGATTTTGCCCATGGGAAAGGATCCAATAAGCAATCCTACAATTTTAATGCAAACACTCAGAGACTCTGGCCATGATCATCCAGGTCTAGCCCTACGCCACATTGGAAAGAGGACAAAGATAGTGGGTGCACAAGTCTACCTCTGTTGACTCTAATTTTGAGGTTCCCCATCCATCACAACCCCATGACTGAAGAAGAAATTGATGCTTTATTGTTGTCAGACAGCAAGAAAGAGGCAGATCCAGGAGGAAAGTCAAGACTTCTCAGAGTACTTTTCCGGAGGCCACCCAAGGGATGACAGGTCATCAAGTCTATAGTATACAGGACCTCCCTTGGAAGTAGCTGTGGCCCCTTGGAGTAACCTAAAGAAGACAGACAATACTTGATTCACAGCATCTTAAGAGTTGTTTTGACCTTTTGGCAGTTGAGTCATAGGTTGTATGGCTGCCAACTCAACCAGGGAAACTTACCCAGAGATTTACAAATTACTACTCAGCGCCACCACAATATCTTTTTCAAGTCTCTTCCTAATTCAGCTTTATCTCTTGACTTCAAGATCACCTACTCATTTTGAAAAAAAATAGGCAGAAGGACAAGATCCTGGGGTTTCCTTCCTGGAGGTTATCATCAGATCTGATGATATATGTAAAAGGCTAATCTGAGGCATCCTGATATCCAGCCTCCATACACTGAACACCTTCAGTGGCCTTGCTCTTAGAAACCAGAGAAGGAAAGTCTAAATTCCTAGCAAGAAATGTAGGAAAGGTATTCTAAAGTGTTGGATTCTAAAAGGAGAAAGCCTTCGTGAAAACTGAGCCATCAAGCTTCCTGGACAAGAAGTCCAGAGAAGGGAAGGATGCTCTGAATGCTTCCTGCCTTCCAAGCCGGATACTCAGCAGGTTCGCCCCAAACCCAGCTCTGCACACCTCCTACTCTCCTGCAATGATCCACCTGCTGTTCCAAGGCTTGATTACCTCTGCAGCCTCCTAAAGGCTCTAAGGTACTTATCGGATTACCACTGGAGGTCATGGATTCTACTGTCATGCTAGGGCTGCTTATTTATGTGCCTATTCTCTTTGGAGAAATTAGAAGCTCAGTGTCCAGAAGGAAACGCTGTGTTCTGCATGCAGCAGGTGTCCAGTGTGAATAAATTGAATGCATACGGAATGAAATTGCTTGTCACCCTGGCCCCAGTTCTGGCCTAGAGACTCTAGGAGTCCAAAGAGTGTAGGAAAAGATTTATGTGGGATTCTGCAGAGGCAGCTGGCAGCTGTGCGGCTAACTGCTCCTTTCTGGTGTCCATTGACCATTTTGTCCCATGGAAGCCAGGAATACCTGCATATCAGAGATTCAAATGTGCGATTCTGAGGTTTTTTTCAGATAATATTCATATAAGACATAATTCCTTCTCTGAAAAAAAAAAAGCATGCACATTTTAAGGGATGAATCCATAAATGTTGCAAGAAAAATACACAAAAGAATGTCTTTTCAAATGGAGGCAGAATTGATGTGATTATAATGGATATGAAATGCTGATTAAAATGTTTATTATTCCTTAAAGATCTGCTGCACCTCAGAGGCTGCACGCAAATTCAAACACATAGACACATGCATTAAGTGCCTGGTCCCAGGTGTCAGGAGATGGAGATTCAGGCTCCAGGCACTAAATGGTTGTTCTCTCTGCTTTCCCCTCCCCCTTCCTTCAAGGAGGTGTCATGTACTCTGGCTTTTGATTTGCAGTGTCT